ACGATCCAATCGTTGCGGAGAACAAATGAATAAATTTATGTCAAATTGTTAATAATAAAAAGATTTGCCGATGACAATTCGAATTGTCTTTATTCCCTTTGAAATCGAACCTTTACTTATTCCGCCATATTCTTTTACTCTTTTTACAATGAATAAATCCACACCCTTCTCTTCCATTGCATATTTCTTGCATACAAACAAACAATGCTATGGGATATGAAGACAGTACCACAGTTAAAATGGACAAGATAAAGTGGCCAGTTCACCATGGGATATGAAGACAGTACCACAGTTAAAATGGACAAGATAAAGTGGCCAGTTCACCATTTTTAGTTCGGCTGCTAGCATGAAAAAAACTTATTTGTCATTTTACTTTTAATGTTTTTAACCGTTAGCAATTATTTACTCGAAAAGTCCAAAATTATTCGTTGCAATTCAGTTCAACTCTGAAAAGGTGAAAAGGTCAGATGCTCTAGACTTGGTGTCCTCCGATGCGCGTGAACTCCCCGTGGTACATGCTATAAGTATACAAACCGGGCGTAAAACGATCTCAAGTCTGATAAATAAAATATTCTCGCAAGCCAGGGCAACTGATCGAAATGTCAGGGGGAATGGCTCTCTACACACGTGGCGAGATGCTAGCCGTAGCGTAGAATGTCAGAACGTTTATGGATGTCGCAAGCCAAGCGACTACTGTTCGCACTCTTTCTAAATATCGTGTGGATGTCGCCTGCTTGAATGAACGTCTTTCTCACTTCGTGTCTCGAATAATTAATCCTAGCAGAAGTAGTACTGGCTACATAACTGTGGTGCTTCGTATAACGAAATGGCGTAGCGATTACCATGTCTGATAAAGCCCATTCCGCTTTTAATGATTGGAATTCGGTTAGTGACCGTATGGCCTATACCTGATTTAAAGGTAAGTTCTGCAATATCTCGTTCACCAGTGTTTGCTCCAACCTTGTCATCAGATGACCGTGACAAAGAAAAGCGGAATCTCAACTATTAAAAAATCTCTACTAAAACAGGACATGGCCATAATCGGGGAAGATAGGAATGCACGCATAGATCATAATACCGCTGCGATGATGCCGACAATTAGCAAATATGGCATAGGAGACTGGTGCGCCAGTGGGGAACGCTTTCTTAGCTTTGCCAAAGAGCATGAACTTTTTGTTAATACGACCATGTTTTCAACCTCGAAGATATCTAATCATGTGGAGCTCCAACCAGATCATATGCCAGTCAATCGTCGATAGAGTGCTAGACAGTCGTTCGTATCACGGCGCTAAAACGGGCAATCTTTATGGATCTGACTATGTTACAATTCGAACCAAGATTCGCATAAAATTGACAATTCTTAAAGGACAGCATCTCTCAGGATTTTTTAGTTATCTTAAGCTTAAAGTTTCGGAGATAGTGGATGCATACCGAAACCGAATTATTAAAACATCTCAATGGTAAAAATATCAATGGCCTTTCTGGAACGACGAATGAATACTAGTTCCAACTAAAAGAATATCTCCGAAAATCAACCACCTCTACGCTAGGACAAACTAACAAATGCACTATTTTGGTATCGGAAGCAACTGCTCAACCCTCCAAAAATGCTTGGAAAGCATGAATGTGAAAAAATCCTAATTACCGGATGTTTCGAAGAATTGCAACGACAGCAACACAGCGGGACAGAAATCACTATTGGAGCGAGATGGCCTTGAGAATGGAAATAGCTGCTCGATTAGTTGACAATAGGAAACTATTCCGCCTTCTTCATAAAGCAATTATAAACTCGGAGAACGATCAATGAAATGGTAAGGAACAGCAATGGCGTGGCTGTTAAGAGATAAAGGATCGTCTCATAAAATCGAAGGAATTCCTTGAAGCTAACCATTATATGTCATCTGTTGTCCCGGACATAGATGATTTATTTATAGAACCATACATTTGCAATTGCGAACAGAAGAAATATAAAAATCTATAAATATAAAAATATAAATAAATGTAAAAATAAAATATAAAAAATATAAAAAGAAAAATCTCCCTTATCCATAAGATTAAGACCGATAAGATTCCAAGAGAAAATCTCCGGGCTGAATTCTTCAAATTTCGTCCATCGTCCTTTATAATAACCTTCAACTAATTTATTTTCTGGTATGGAAGAAACAAATACTATCAAATGACCAGCGAAGCAATTCTGATCCCAATGCCCAAGAAAGATAACAGGAATATTACGACAATTGTCGAGGGACTAGCCTACTAGGAATTATCATCCTGGGAAATTTTTGCTTTTATCCTGCTGAATTATGGCAGTACGAGACAACAGAATGCGCCCTAATCAAGCTGGATTCAGACAGGAGTTGACCAGATATTCACGTTAAGAAGGGTGTTGGAACATCGCTTCAAATATTTGCAACCCACTGCCACGTGTCAACTTCGACTTCGACTTTGACTTTTCATTGACTTTGCAGTTGCTTTTGATTCAATTGATAAAGAGGCAATTTGGAGGGTGATGAATGCGACGGTGTTCCAGAGAAGATCATTCGACTCATTCGACTCATAAAGGTACGTCAGCGCTATATGAAGTCTGTGTATATGGGGAAGTGACAGTCTCCTTCGAAATAAAAACTGATGTCCATCAAGGTCCTTTCTCCTACAATATTCAACTAAATACTGGATAATGGACACTGCTTGTCGATACTCAAGAGATGCCCAAATCAATCCAGAGTATCGTATCATAGATCTTGAATACGTTGATGATTTAGTCCTTCTTGTAGACAGTTATGATGAAATGCAAATAATGTTAAATAAGGTGTCAGCAACTGCAGTGAGAATCGGACTAAGGATTAATGTAATGTAAATAATGTAAATAAAACGAAAGCCTTTTCGTTTTATGTGCAAAAAGCTGATAAAATGCATCTTTTAATAAATCCATTGCCAGTTGAGGAAATGTTCGATTTTAAATACCTTGGATCCACTCTAATACCTCAAAACACTCGAATAGCGAGACAAAAGACGATATTACAACGCGGATTACAGCAGCGAGAAATGCACTGTTCCGGTTAATGTAACTTTTATGGAGACTTCGCGAAATCACCATAGAAACGAAAGACCACGTCTATATATAAAGATCGCTCAATCTTGCTATATACTGCGAGACATAGCCAATCACAGTGGAGTATATATTAAGTCATTTTGCCTTTGACCACTCATGTCTAAGGTACATTCGCCGAGTGGATAAAATCTCACATGATCGCATCGACTTTCGCTCAAGTACCATTTGCATTAATAGTACCATCACTGAGCGTAGCTTTTGCTGCTTAGAACATATTTTTCGCCGCCCACTTCTTTGATATAAATACTGATACATATTTCGTTACTTGCTAAATCCTATGATGAGTGGCGTCAAAAACAAGGTAGGTCAATCAAGACCTGGACTGATACGGTTAGGAAAGATTTTGGACATATTGATGGATCAGCAATATATGATATATGATATTTAGGAAGAATACAATATTTACGAGAAACAAGGATTGGTTTCTATTACTGTTACTGTTAACGATGGTATCAGATCGCGCAGTCTGGAAACGTCTTACGCTAGTAGACAATGGTAGCCAGTGGAACGAATCTAACCAGTAATGCTGAGAACTGTTAGAAGTAAGATTGATATATTGATTCTTTTAAAAATGCCTGAAATACAAATTCAAAAATTCATATCTAATTCTTATGTTATTGGCCATAATATTAATAGGCCGCTAACATTATACGGACAAGTTAAATCTTACTGAGGAGAGGGAATCAAACCAATGATGCCTAACAGAAAGCAAGAATATCATTCCCTGCCTCCTCTTAAACGGAACTGAGGTGCTAAAGAAATAAAAGGACAGACATGGCGTAGAACCGCATGGGACAAAGTGTAACCAAACCATATTAGTCAGTTTGGAATAAAAATGAATCTCCTGCAATATATCCTTAAACTGCATATGTTGCGAACCATTGCAAATCCAGAAAAAACCAGTCAAAACTTAGGCCATAACGATACTCGCGTTTTCCACCTTCACGAAATTTTTTATTCCAAGATTAATTCGGTTAAAAAATATATATTTCTAATAGAAAAGGAAGAAAAATAGGCAATTCCTTTAAAATTTAAAATATTTTGGCAAGAGAATTTAACATTTATTTTTTATAAAGAAGACTATCAAAAAACAATAAAATATTCAAAGAATTACGAAATTTTTTTTAAAATCTCCATTTTTTACTTTAATAAAGCAAATAAACAACAAAGTGGCAACAACGAATTATAATTCAAATTAACTTCATAAGAGAAACAAATAAAACATAAAACAAATAATTTCCAACAAATTCTATAAAAAATGGTTAATGGTTTATGTAATGTATTTCATTTTATTCGAAATTCTGAAAATATAGCAAAACTGGAAAAAAAAAATAAATTGAGAACCGCTGAAAAGCGACATATTATGGCACAACAATCTGTAAAATAAGTTGTTTATAGAAAAAATTTATTTTATTTCAATATATATGATAACATGATCCCGGAAATTATGCACCGAAACCTTTTGTTTCGCCGAACCTATTCTATTTTTTTTCCTTAAGCTTATCGGACACACTTTTAAAATCCTTGAAACCCCGTTAATTTCCTTCAGTGATATCTTCGCTTTTTACCATATTTGCCATAATACTTTAACCTCTCTTAAAAATTTTGCCAATTTCATACGCTTGTCGCCCTTCAACACCTATTATTTTTATTCACTTTAAGTTTTTTCAAAATATCAAGAAATAAATGCTATTGAAAGATTAGAAATATTAGAAAAACTGGATAGAAAACTGAAAACAGGAATAGAAAACTGAAAAATGTTCAGCGATAATTGGATATTAAAAAAAAGATTTTAAGAACTTTCAAGAGAATTTCTTAATTTTTTCAATTTAGATTCGAAAGAATTTTAAAATACAAAACAAAACAAAAAACATTTATCTCAAAAATTTTATACTTCCCATTTCCACCTGTAGCTTTTATAAAAGGAAATTTTCTCGCGATGATTTTCGTCTTCATCGTGAATGAGGTTCGATTTAACAGGTGGACGGTACGGTATTCTATTTTCAAATTCATTTTCATAAACTACGGAGTTCATAAGTTTTTCTCGAGCTTTTTCTTCTTCGGCTTCAAATAACAAAGCTGTCGATGGAAAATCCTTTAACTCCGGCATAACGTTAACAAGTTCATGCACATTAGGTAATGCTTTTATCTTGTATCTTGAATCGATTTCTGAACTATTTTCTATTATTATTCATTTCATGAGCAACAGCTATTTATTAAAATAAAAAAGGCCTTCTTTAACGTAAATGCTTTCACGACTTTTCACTCACTTTACCACTTTATTTGCATTTTCTGTGACCATTCTGTCATATCAAAGAACATTAAGATTAAAGATTAAATTGAAGAAAATCAGAAAACGCATTAAGAAAAAGAGAAAATAAAATTACCAGCATCCAACATCCAATCAAGCACAAGACAAAACTTAGTGTTTTTCACTGCATCCAGGTTCAAGGTTGGCCAATCAGTAATATCTGACCGTAAGATTGATAACCATATTTTGCTACGCAGAGAACCGATCAATTCTGAATGAAATTCCGCACTCGTATCTTGAACCAAAGATATGAAAATCCTTAAGGCCCTTAAAAATGATAAATTTAGATTTTAAAATATATAATGATTTTCTAAACTACTTCAAGTATTATGGCTCGACTTCTCACCTTTGACAGGAATAAACATCATTCAAATTTACATTTTACCGTTGTGGCACTGGAGATATATTTGTCCTATCGCAAATGAACTCTGGCAGAAAATTCTCAATAATAGCCCAATCAGATATGATGAATGCTGTGAAAAAATTTAAAAAAAAGAAATTTTCATTGACCTTGAATAACTAGACAAAACCCTTTCCTCGTCAGTATCGCTTAAATTTATTTGTATCAGTTCCTCAATCGTCAACGGTCTCATTTTTTTTTTTCCATCATCGGAGGCAGAAATCACTTTTGGAATAATTTTCTAAAAAACGATCCAATAACTTCCTGTTTAACTAATAAAATAGAAATAAATTAATGAAAAATTTAAAAAATATATAGATTAAAAACCTGAATTGAAAATTGGATAATTGATTTATTATTATAATAAATTTAACCTTAGTCAAATCCAGTGGAATTTCTTCCTGGTGCTTTATTACACTAAAAGAATTGTGGATTTCAGCTAATGAATCTTCATCAACTGAATCTGCAGACAATAAACAAAGTTTGGCGAAAGAAAGATAGAGCTAAAAAATGATATAAATGATATAAACTGAAAACACTATGAGAAAAATATAATAATACTAAAATAAAATTATTTCAGATAAATTCAAGACATGAATCAGTAAAAATAAAAAAAATCAGTACAAAATCAGTACCTTTTTCTCCATAATATCCTCGCACTGCTGGATCAGCGTCTTCAAGCATCGATATGCCTGCAGTGAAAAATAGAATTTAAAGAAATAGAACATATAAAAAGTGTTCTACAACAAAGCACAAAAATGCTTGACAAACCTTTTCGTATTCCCCACGATCCAAATATCTCAACCAACTGATTTTTTTATGAGTTGCGAAGAATTCATCACAGAAATCTCCCGTTTCTTCTCGAAGTTCCTTTATATAACCTCAAAAAAAACTAATTCACTAATTGTGTCAAAAAAAATCCAAAAACAAATTTATTGATATCAGAAAATATACGTCAATATAAAAAATAAAAGGATATCGTGAATAAAATTTTTTTAGAAAGCCAAATATTTGAACCTTTCCTAAAATAAAATTCATAAAGAACGGCATTAAAATCGGGAGAATCGACAGCACTTTTGAATTCTTTAATTTTCTTGATCATTTCATTATAAGGCAAATTTTCAACATATTTGATAAGAGAAATGTAATCCTGAAAAACTTTGAATGATAAAAATATAGCACACAAAACGTTATTTCAATATGTATCAAATAAAATCCCATTGGAATTTTAAATTGCGACTTTTTTTTGAAAAAACAATATTGTAATATGTTAGTTTTTTTAATTTTTTCATATTATCTTACTTAATGCTTTCTTTTTCGAAAAAATATGAAAGCAAAAATAATTATATAATGTGTGCCTAAGCAGTGAACGATTGGCTTGATAAGATTTTGGAACCATTGTAAATTTAAATAATAGAAAAAATGAGAAAGAAATAATAAAATTACTTTAAAGAACTTGGCCAAATCAATGGCTGCATTCACATTAATATTGAAAAATTTTTGTATAAATGCCGATTTGTCCACTGAAGCGGAATCCATCTGTTCCAATATAAAAAAAGAAATTTTGAGAATAGTCTCGAAAAAGGAAAAAGTGTCTAATTTTTTGTGAGTTCGTGCCACTTCGAGAGCGATATCGACCTACAAACAAAAACGATTAGTTTAAAGTACCATAATAATATATTCTACCTGCCCACAAAAAAGCAAAGGATGAAAAAAAACATCGAATTCGAAAAACTTCAACTATAACTATACTCAGCATAAAAAATTTTCTCTCATGCGGATATTTTCAAATACTTATGTCTAATCTGCGTTAGAAATTTCTCAAAAAAATAAAATAAAATCTTGAAATTCAAATAGCTATTTCAAGCGAATAACCTGAGCTATAATCAAATCGACAAACGGTTTTTGTTGAGTCCAAAGCAAATCGTCACCAGTATGAAAAGGATTTTCAGCTCTAATTAAAGTTACAGCTTCTAATGCTTTTGCTACGACAAATGTCGAATCTTCGACCCATTTGATAGCAATATCTTGCCCCAAATTATCTTTTATTTTCAATTTTTGTTCTTCTAGTAAAAAAGTGAAAATTCGATCAATCTTCGTTATCTATAAAAATTTATATCAATAAACCATAAGAAAATGCTTTACTGAATTTTAAATGAAAAATAAAGATAAAGAATTAAAGAAAGATAAAGAATAAAATAAAAATAAAGAATTGTACGAAATTAAGTACCTTCTGAAAGAAATAATCATAAAGAGCGAGCGTAAAACTGAATTCATTCCTGAAATGTTCCTCAGCGTCGACTGCCCGCTTAATTGCAGAAATCATAACTGGTCTTTGACATTCCTAAATTTATTCCCATTAAAAAAATTAGAAAGATAGGCATGAATCCTATTAAAAGATTTTCAAGAACTATGAAAATATACAACTTCCTCACTAATTCAATATAAAGAACCAAAAATTCATTATATCTAACATCATATATTGCAATTGCAATTTCCAGTTTTTCAATCAATTCGGTAAGTTGTGATCGGGCGCTTCGAGAATCAGTAAGAACCGTTTTAATAACTTTATCAAACTGAAAATACACCTCTCTAAGGCAAGTAGAAAAGTAGAATAAACTTAAACTTGCAAAAACAACCTAAAAAAATGACCACACTATTTATCAGTTATAAGATCAAAAAGAAAAACATGAAAAAATTTGAAATCAAATAAAGGAAAAAATTGTGCACTCCTAGAATATATCTTAAAAAAAATCAAGAAATGTAAAAATATAATTTTTAATTGATTAAACATTAAAATTAATTTTATAAACATTAAATTATAATACCTGGAAGTTTAGTTGCATGCTTTGAATGAATAAAACGAACATTGCGAGGATTTTCTTCTTCTGAACAGCGAGATGAACTTCAATTAGAAAAGACTGGTCGGATAAACTGGTATCTACAAAATGACATGAACTCTTGAAAATACAACGAGCTCCAGGCAATCATTTCTAGCAAAGATCAAATAAAAAATATTTCAAATGATAACCAACTAAGAAGGCAGAAGTGGATCTAAAGGAAAGTATAACAAAAAGATTACTTTTTGGTTCGTATCCGGCATCAATCCACCTTTTGTCATTTGGAATATCATTTACGATACCTACTGCAAATTCTATGCACAGCTGAGCCATTGTCGTGTGACGAATAGCAAGTAAGTCGTTTAAAATGGTTCGAGCATTCAGCTAAATTTGATTGAAATATTTTGATGGAAAAATTCAATAAGTTTGAAGCGAAATCAAAATAAACAATTTTCAGAAAATGAACCATATCGCCTTTTGTGAATGACAAGAAAGCATTAGCCAGTAAACGACCTTCTGAAGGAAAAGATGTAGGCATTTCTTGAGAGTTAAAAAGGTTTATTTTGATAGATTGCGCCAATGTCGCGTCAAATCCTCTAAAATTCTTAATATTAGAACCATCCTTGAGTAAAACGCAAGCAGAATGGACTGAATACACTTTCCCTTTGATAAAGATGAATCTACCATTAAAGCCAGTACAATCAATCTAACCAAAAAAGTTCCAATGTGTACGATTAAAAATATCCACACCAACATGTGACAAAATGAAGTATAACAAAGTATAACTTTTTAGCAATCGATTTTTCTTTCGTTCAAAAAAATATCATTTAAAAAATACTAAATTTGAATCTAAATCGATACCTAGGTAAAAGGCGAATTCGATATAAACCTCCATCGCGCAAGAATACATAAGAGAAATTTGCATCAGTTGCTAAAAAAGTCCTTGGGTAACCAATTCATACCAAGTTTCCAACAAAAAATAAAAGAACAATTTAAAAAAATTACTAAAAAATCACCGGAGCTAATGATTTCGTCCTCCAATTTAAGAGAATATATTGTAGGAAATGCATGGTTATCCAGAATATTAGGTAAGCGAATGGCGTAGACTGATTTAGATGTTACCATAACTATTCCTTCGGTGAATTCATGTGAACCACTACGAAGTCTCGTTGGTACTCTCAGTGATATTTTCATGAAACATTGTTCATCACTGGACTAAAAAAATTAATATTAAATTTTAAAACGTATCCAAAAAATAAATCAATTTTAAATATATTATAAAATACATTTCGAAAAAAATATTTACTCTATATAGTTCTCCGGAAGATAACTTCATGATTTGGAACCATTCAAATCCAGAAGGCATAACGTCTCTGCCATAATCCGCAATGTATCCTATGCAAAAATTTATAATACAAGCGAAAGAATGAAGAAAAAATTAAAAAATCAAAATAAAAAAAAATTTAAAAATGAAATGGTTAATTTGTTCTTTCTAGAAATAATGAGGCTTGATTTGCTTATTCTAGGAATAATAAAAAATAATAAATAAATTAATTCTATTTACCAATGCCGAAATGGACAACAGCATTTGATGAAAGCTTTGAACAAGCTAAAAGAACAAACATTCCACTGCGAAAATTTACAGCATCAATTAGCCAAATTTTTAATAATTCAGGTTTACAAACAAGATATTCGCTTTCTCCACTTGTCATCTGCAATAACTTTGGTCTCTAAACGTTAAATGTTAAAAAAACACCAAAATAATTGCATTTAAAGATGTTGATAAAACATTGATACGTGGAACTAATTAATTAAATTGTAATATGCCAAAAAATATTGTGATTAAATTAAAATTAATAATTAAAATTAAAATAATTAATAATTAATTAAAATTAACAATTTAAACTTGCCGAAGGCTCAGAGGCAAATCTTTGGGCAGCAACCTCAGATAAGTTATAAATCCACAGTTTAGCAGGTGGACTTATTGAATATAATTCAAGTTCACTTTCTTTTAATGCCAGGATGAACATGTTTGATACACGGTTTTTGAAACACTTAATAACCTCAAATCCATTTTCACTTTCGCTATCGCCAGATGTTTCTTCATAAATTAACGATTTTATCAAGCTGCAATAAAAAAAATATCAAATAGAAATGATCAATATTCTTTATTCGATAAAGTTATTGTACCCTTATGCAAAGAAGATATAATGCCAGATACTAATTCGTATCCTCCAAATTATTATAAATTAGAAAAATATTGAAATAAAAATCTATCTTCAACAAAAAGTTTGACCGTTTTTATTCAATTTTGTTCAAGATTTTGGATAACACCTCGCCATAACCCAAGTTTCACAAGTTCAAGGAGTGATTTACGACGGCGTAATGCCGCGTTATATTTTATTCGAATAAAACTGTTATATTAAATTATATTAAACGATATCTAATAAGAACATATTAATTACGAAAAATTAATAATTGGTTTCGAATTAATCCATCAAATCTATTTAAACTAATTTATAACCTTCATTCTCACTGCTTGCAAAATTCCTGCTACTATTAAATAATAAGACTCTTTTGCCAGAAAACCAAAAATAAATAATAATTTACTGTGATCTGATTGGCGTTATGCCACCAAACAATACTGAAGTGACACGGCTACCAATACCTCGTTTAATATCAGAATAAATCAATTTAGCAATTACCGAAACTGAAGGCCAATGAGGCTTATCTGTGCTAGCTGTGTGTTCAACCGACAACAGAAAAAAAGAACAAGTCGTTGTAGATAACAAAAAATGTAACGTATCTATAAAAAAATCCCATGAACATCGAAAATTTCAAAAATTCGTATATCATTAAAAATAATTGAGATAAAAATTACCTGAACCATGACCATTTAGAACAAGCAATGACAAAGCAACCTCACTCTGCAATTCAACCACGGAATCATTAAACTGACGTCCTACAACAGGCCAATGACGTATTACACCCTCAGGCGATACAGCTAGAACTCCTGGATCCGAAAAGCCTAAATTAAAACTACATAAAATAAGACCAAAATGCAACTGAACTTTTATGAACTGAATTTTGCGATAACGTCCGATCTTTCAAAAAAGGCACTCAAAAAACGTTAATAGGTCGCTAAAACCAAAAATGCTTACAAGAAAAAAGGGTTTGCAAACACGATTTCTTTGTGCAAATTATACTCATTTTTCAAGATAACGCTTTTTTTATATTCTCTTGACTAAAAATTCTGCCATTCTACTTCAAAATGAGATAACAATATTCCAATAAAAACTAACCAGTATTTAAATATATACTCGTTGTAGCAACAGAATAAGGCAAACCAGAAGGAGGAAGAAGCAACTGTTTGGGAGTTTCAAAAGTTTTATCCTGCAATATTTCGCTCATTATTCGATTATATTAGTGTGTTTTGCCTTTTTTAAGGGCCTTCACCATTACTCCGCTAGACAAATATCCCTTGGCGATAGAAGTACAGATGAATCGCCGGTATCACCCGGATTTTTGGGCAGTTTTACTTCTGTGAGTAGATCTTAGCAATGGCTTTTCGAATTGAGCAACAATCCACTGAACCATTCTATTTTTATTTTTGCCGTTTATATTTTCTTAAATATGACCAAATATGATGGGCAATTGAAAAAATAAAACCTCATTAGTAAAATTCCACACGAAAAGATTTCTTCCAACAATCATTCTTACATAACCAATCGATGAAAGTGTTGCACATGAATTAAATTGAATTCCATTTTTTTGAGAGCCTTGTTCTATAAATTGAAAAATAAATCAGTCTCTTATATTCAGAAAAAAAAGCTGGAGAATTAAATATATATTCAAGAAAATAAAATATTAAATTAAAAGGCTCTCCACTGGATTCCTCATATAAAAAGCTAGACCATTACATTAGACTGAGAATCTTAAAGAATAAAAAGAATTAAAGAATCAAACCAGCAATAGCTTCCTTCACTAATCCAGGATAATCATCTTCCACCAGCTCCACAGCTAATTCCTCAACAAGTTCCATCGTTTTTCTTTAGATAAAAGGGATAATTTAGAATAGTTCAAAAAAATAATTAACGATGAAATACAAATTAAGCGAAGACTCACACCCACGAAACCAATAATTTCCATAGAAATGGTGAAATTAAAATATTTATAATAAAGAACCATCTTCATAAATAATTGTAATTCATCACAAATATTCTATTATTGTTGAAAGACAATAAAAAAATAAAAAGCCATATATATTAAAAAATTTATCAATCATAAAGTGCAATAAATAAATATTATATGAAACATAAATAAAGCATAAAAATTATAATAAATAAATGAGCGAAAAAATGGAAATAATTTTAATTACCACATGACAAAAACCGAAATCGAAATCGAAATGAGTCGAGCATCAATCACAGTTTTAGAAAACTGTGGAATAAAAAAATTTTTGGATAAAATTCTTACAGTTTGAAACCTCTCGACTAAAAAATAGAACCGGAAAAAAAATACAAACTAGATGAAACTAGATGAACTAATATAACCACAATATAAAAACGCGAAAAAAAGAAGAAAAATACACTCATTTAAAAAAAAATTAATCAGATTTTGGTATTCCATCACCAAAATGAACAATAACGGTAGCTCTGGCCATTTTCGCTCCATAATTTCCTGCCCAGAATTGTTCATCCTTTCCCCAATGATCGAATATAACATAACGAATACCTTTTGGATAGTCTTCGAATGTATGCTCAATTTTCTGCCATTTAGCTTCTGAAATTACTTAAAAAAAAGTGAAGAAAAAATTTTAAAAATTCCGAGTTCATAAAATAAACAGAAAAAAGTTTCAGCCATATAATAGTAAAATCTGAAAATGAAAAAAGTAAAAAAGAATACCTGACCACTGATCCATTCGACGAACACGAGAAATATACATATTGGTAGTTTTGTCAGCAATCGGATTTGGCAAATTTAAAAAAGAAGGCGATCGCTTATAATCTTCCCAATTTTGAGTTTTTCCAAAACATTTCTTTAGATGAACTTGTAATGCATATATTGCAGCACAATCTCGTCGACAATTGAAAATTTCAGAAACTGTAATTGGTGGACGAAACTTATCGAGAAATTCTGGCTGTAAATTATATATTTCATAATATATTTAAATGTTGAATGTCAAAAAGTAAATCTATCTAAGCACTGTGTTTTACTAGCAAACATTTATAGGATTGGGAACGCAGCGACATATGAGCTTAGATGATGCAGAAAGGATTTTACCTTGATTCCTTTTTTCCACAAATCAACACATTGGAACATGCGACACCAACCATAACTAGTAACAAAAGCTGTTTCAATCTGATCGCCATTATCATCGTTTAAACAACATATCGGAGGTTTTTCTATCACAAATCTAAAAAAATTAATACGTTACATTACTAAATTATTCAATAATAAAATGCACCTTCAAGGGAGATTTTCTAAATTATAGAATCTTTTCTTTTAAATTATAAAATTTGTTATTTTGATGAGCAAAAAAATTTAATCATAAATTATTTAACTGAAATGAAAAAATAAAAGCGAAAGCAAAAAATAAAATATTCACCCATCACCATAATTGGAAACAATAACCCAGTGATCAAAATCATTTTGACCGCTATCGTTTAACAATAAATTTCGCTCAAATGGCTCAAAACAACAGATTTCTTTCATATTGAGACAAGGTTCGTTTCTTAGTTTTGGTGGAGGAACGGCGATTAAATATCTCTGACCATATTGTATCCAAAACACATTTGAAGAAAGAATGGTACACCATTTTCGACATACCTGCAAAATAATTCGACATACCTGCAAAAACCGTTTTTTCTTTCATTTTTTTTGTATTATTTTTTTTGCCTTAAAAGGATAATTGATTGAGATAGAATAATTTGATAATCTCAATAAGTTTAAGAATTATTTGATAATCTCAATAAGTTTTATGCGATATCTCCTAAACATTTTCCAACATATAACTATAAACTGTTTTTCTGATTGCAAACATTATTAATTACTTATCAAACGTTAAATCATTAAATCAGCCAAAAAATTAACCCCAATATGAATAATCTGTGAATGAAAGAATTCGTGAAGAAAAAATTTTTTTCACGTGATAGCGCAAAAATTAAAAACTTAATAAATTCACCAAGTAAATATCAAAAAAGATTTAACAATCAAAACTAATAAGCACAAAATTAAAAAAGATTAAAAAAGAACATCTAAAATTTACCAATGGACAACTGCACGCAACGGTTTTTAAACAATTAATTCGCAAAAATATTTCGCTTAAGGCATCTAACGGCAAATTGTTCCAAATTTCTTCTAAAACATTTAAATTTCACTAAATACATAATTATTTAAATTAGCTGGACCACCTATGCATTCAAATTCCCTCTGAAAAATATATAGGTGAAATAAATAGACATAAGCTCGATTTTACCCTTTAAATTTGGAGCCCACAGTATCTTTCGACCCTCTGAAGAAAGAGCCTCATTAAACAATTAGACTTCCTCTAATAGCGCACATCATTTTCGACTTGTTTGGCAGACTTTACCAGCTAAAAGGATGACGCTTTTCCAAGCCTTCTCTCACAAGCTATGGCTGAAACTAATCGAAGCCAATTTCTTCTCCATTGTCTAATATCATCACACTGGACCACCTATGTATTCAAATTTCCTCTGAAATCCTCACTTAAATCCTAATCATTGTCTTTTTCGATGAAGGTATTTAAAAATTTCATGTATGGGCAGATATGGCAATCCCAGCGATGGATGGCAAATAAAAACCATTTAGACATCGTCCCACGTAGTCCATACATAAGTATTTAATGCTATGTACCTCCTTGATGACATCCTTCTTCTTTTAACAGCTCTCACCATTACTGGTTAGGCTGGCTCTGTTGGCTAAAAGGGTAAGACGTTCCCAAACGACGCGGTCTAATGCCATCGTCGACAGTAATAGAAGCCATTCCTTTTTCCATGGTCTATGTCCATATATTGCTAGTCTATCTATAAGTCCAAAATTTTTCCTGACCCTGTCAGTCCAGGTCTCACCTCGCTTTTGACACCCATCACAGAATTTAGTAAGTATTAATCTTTAATCTTGTAGTAGGCGACTAAGAACGTGTCCTAACCAGCGAAGGCGACGGTCAATGTTGGTACTGGTACTTGATGCAAATGGTACCTGGACGAAGGTGGATATGATCATGTGAGATTTCATCCGCTCGACAGATTCGTAAAATGTACCTTAGACAAGAGTGGTCACAGGCAGATAATTTCTTAATATTCTCCACTCTCATTGGCCTCTCAGAGCCATATAGCAAGATCGAACGAATCACGGTTATATAGATACGGATTTTTGTTTTTATGGCGAAACTTTGACTAATTGGTCCCTTTTTTAAAGAGCATTGCTGTCATTATTGCAAAATTTAATTTTTTATTGTTTCATTTCAAATAGCAATAAATATAATAATAAGAACAGCAATAAATATAATAATAAAAATAAATAAATACAATAGAAAAATAAAAAATAATGGAGAATTTAGACAGCATTCGGAAATCACAAGAAAAATTCACCTGCGTAAGATCGACCCTTATCACTGCTATCAGCTAATCCCATCATATCTTCATATATCTTATCATAAAATATAATGATATTACACTGTCTTATATTATATTAAATATTATCAAAAAATTTAGCAATTCCAACACCAATGATTCGTGTATCCGATTATTAGACGATTCTATCTCTCGCACGCGGCTGAATCACATAGATTCACAGAAATCGGAAGGAATTCCTGTTTGGGCAATTTGTACGTCAAATAAATGATCACACCGCTGAGCGGTTTAGTGTTCGGTATTGCGAACTCAAGTCAGAGCTGTCAGTGCTGTTTCTCTTAGAACCACGTGGTCTTTCTTTTCGTCTGCGCATATATAAATTTTGCCTTCGGAAATAGTTGGACAATTTTTGCAGATTTAGCGGTGATTTTTATATAAATTGGGCAAAAATAGAGAAATATTTTACTCCATATTAGCCAAAATTTCTCACTAATTTTCGTTTCGATTTTAATTTAATACAATTTCAATTTATGTTTTTTATTTTTAAATTTTACTTATAAAAACGTAATAAATATTTCTTTTAAAAGATAGCAATTTTAAAAAATCGCTTTTCTATTTCATTGCAACGTTTTAAGATTTGAAAGTTAAGCACAAACGGTTTCGGTTCCGAATTTTTTATGTCAGAATTAGGCTAATTTTTAAAAATATTTTACCCAAAAAGGAACAGCGACGAGTGAAAATGCCTAGGAAAATGAGCGATTGGCCAGGGTTGCCAGCCTAGAAAAGCAGTGGGCGATTGGCCAGGGTTGCTTAAATAGACAGCCACTGCTTCTCGCACTGACCTATTTTTCCTTCCCAAGTTACTCCTATTTGTTTCAACCATTTGCGGCAAGAAGCGCACTTTCAAAGAATAACAGTTCATTTTTCTCGGCCATTTTCCTTAAATATACTTAATTTTCAGCTTAAATTCTGCAAAAATATGGCATTTTAGTCATAAATATATGACATTTTTCCATAAATTGAAAATAAACAAATTTTTGGTCAAAGGTAATTTAAATTAATTAATTTGAATTTGCTCCATTTTTACAACTTTCTTCTTCTTCCAACACCTCTCACCATTGTTGGTTAGGCTGGCTGCATTCGATACAAGGCGTCCCCAGGCAACGCGGTCTGGTACAAATTTCCATATCTATTGCATCCTTTTTGCTACATTTGGCCTAAACACTTCATTTTTTGCACAAATTCTGCTTAAATTTTGAATTGTTTTTAGACTTAAATGTGCGCTGAATTTGTATCATCGTTTTTCTGTAAAAACATGAGCGCTTAAATTTTTACTTAAATCTAACTGAAAATATTCCATTTTCTAAATTTTGCTTAAATATTCATTTTATGGTTAAATTCTGCGTAAATGCTTATCAATTTTGAAATTAGCAAAGATTGAATATGTTGGACCATTGCAGCTCAAAGGCTGGTAACTGTCGTAGAAACCACTTCTCCGAAATGAGTCCATTGTATATTTCGACATGTTACCTATTACGTATCATTATATTTTCTTACTCATAAAAAAGTCAACTTTCTTGCCTAATGACATGCGATTCATGCCTTGGACAATTCCACTGACAATAAAAATTATTTGGCCAGAGAGACATTTGAGGTTGGTACAACGAGTCAGCAACTTACTTACTTCGGTTTTACTTTTAACGCGAGTGCTACTCTCATCTGAGTCAAGAAGTAAGTTTATGCTGTTCGAGCTCGAGGCGAAGTAACTTACTGCTTCATCTTTCTGTTCCTATTTATTTCCACATCACCGTGACACTTTCCACTAAAAGTTGTGGTTGATTGTATTATCGAAAAGCAACTGACCCTGCACTTTTGGCTTTTAACAACCTTTTTGTTATCCGTAAAAAGAGCAATCTAATCATTAATGCAATGGCAACGTATAATAGGGAATAATGCGCATATAAAAATTTTGCAAAAACAGGTAAAATTATGACAAACAAGATTGGAATTATCATATCGGAATTTACCGATTCACCTAGTTTGGAGCGCCACTAAAGGCGATGGCACTTTCCAATTGTCCGATACGCATCTCGGCTTATCGTTTGCTAAATTCATTTTCTGTATGCCTTTCCTTTTATCTATTTTATAATTTCCATAAGGAAACAAAACAAGAATTATAAATGCACATAAGCTTCGATTAATCGAAAATATTAAAGTGAATTTGTAAAACCCGATCTGCCAATCAAAAGAAAATAAAGTATTCAGTATTATTCAGTGGCAAATGATTAATATGAATTCGGGAAGATATGATAAGAAATAAAATCAGAATTATCAGAAAATCAGAACTAGCAGAATCAAAGGATTCAGTGGGATATACAATATAAAGATTTTTTCCATCCTTTTCGAGCCAAAAAAAATTTTCATTGAAGCTAGAAAAAATTAAAATATGGAAAAAGTGGTAGAGCAGCGCGAAAATATTGAGATTATTACGGATTATTCGCTTGAATGATTCGAATTATCACAAGAGTTAACAATTATCATGTAACTAAAAATATGTGCACAATTTTCAGATGCTTTATCCCAACGATCGTCGTCACGTAGAATATAGTGCACCCTGCAATAGATGGTTTAAGCTTGTCGATATTATTTCTTTCGCTGAAAATCAAAATTTTCGATATTTATTAATTTCATCTGTTTTAAATCTCTTAGGATTGGTGCCTTCCATCAATAGTAGAATTTTTATTAAAAATGAGAACGAGGTGGCAGCAGGAGAGTGACACTCCGGATCAAATAATCCTCTAATCTAAATGTTCATGGAATGTCCGATTTTGGCTTCTCTGGGCTGCTTTGAATGAAGAGAATTGCCTGGCCTTTAGATTAAATATTTAGGTAAAAGTGGAAAAAAGAAGTGAGAAACTACATTTATTTTTCATACTTTTTAAATCAAAATAGTATCGTAAATAGTAGGATGCTTGGCCTCGCTTTCATGAAAATAAAACTAATGCCTGGTTCAATGAAAATCGCACAACAATTTGGAATCTTCACGACTTTGAAGGGCCGCTTTACTTTCTGCAACACGTGGGTTTGATGCTCTCTAATCTAAAGTATACTGCAAGCTATTTCTGCAAATTCAACTATGGAACCTTATATGGAACCATTGTTCGAAAAGGAAACCGTTGATTTCTGGATTCATCTGTGCTTTTTTCGCTCGCCAACTGACTCCCTGGCTAGTTTAGTCTAGTCTAATAAGCCAATGTAACGAACCTAACCAGCAATGGTGGGCGTTTTTAGAGAAAAAATCTGTTGATTGATTTCAGGACCGAGCAGTATATCAGCTGCAATAAAAAAAATTGAAAATATTCGATCAGTCATACTTGGCTTCTGTGCCAATTTTGAGATCCAGAATATTGCCACCCAAATAATATGTATCGCCAACTTCAGGAGGATCACATCGTGGGTTACAACGTCTTCTTAACATCATCCAAATCTCGATTCTGTCTTTAAATCATTATTTTTATTAACATAGTTCATTATAGTTCAAAAAGTTGAACAAAATGGCCACTGTTTTGATAAGTTATAGCTTGCATTTCATTACTGTAATTATTTCCTGGAAAATGTGCTAAAATCTGGTAACTTTTAAAATTTTTGCCATAAAACTGAAGTAGTTTTTTTTTTCTCACCTGGCTTCATCATCGATACATCATAAAACTGTTTCCAGTGCTTAACTGAAACATCCATAACTTTAAACTCGATTCCGTGTGGATGATAACCGTCTCTAACACTTTCAATTTCAACTGTTGCTCCTACAATGATTAGTAAAATGAGCCTTATCAGCAATTTCGTACAAGATCGCATAAAATTCTGAATAAAAATGGCTACAATAAAATTCAGTTGGATAGTATGGTGGTTTTTTTCATTATTGGTTGAATTATGGATTATGATTGTTTCCACTAGAGGCAAGTAATTTAATTCCAGCCTCATGCCCTAAACTACCATTAGGATAAAATTAGGATGTATACTAGTGTACGTCATCAACTGATTATTGAAAGAATTATCAAGTGTCTATCGGGCAGGATTCCTCAGGAATAAATAGCATGAAATTCTTCGACAATTGACAAAAACTGACAAGAAACTGATTCCTGAAGCATTTTTTGCAAAAACAAGAAAAAAAAGACGAACCAAAGGCATAAGGAGCACATATTTCAGCCTTTAAACTTGAAGCGGTAACCGTCCTACAATAAGAGCATCGAACTTTACAACCACGCTCAGCACACACACAAATTTCATCCCAACAAAGCGATTCAACCGTTTCATCAAGTGGCACTGGATTTTTCGACCGTACGTCCAAATAGGTTGACAATGTTTGCCCGACCACATCTTCAAATTTTCAGCTTAAAATCTGCATCAGATCTAAGCAAATGTTTTAGAAAATACAGAACAAAAGAGCTAAGAAGACGGAATGATCGTATCCTTACAGTTTTAAAAATAACAAAAAAAGGTATAAACGACTCATAAAAGTAGTGCTTAAGTGAAAAATGGAAAAAAGCAAACCATATATGGGACTTCGAGCTGTAATAACAATAGGCGCTAACTGATTTGGCTCATAACCAAGGAATTTTTGCTCAAACGATACCAGTTCATAACAAAGTTCACTATTTTGTTTCAGCTATAAATTCTGTTTCCAAAATCAGCTTTTTCTCTTTCCGCTTTTAACTTCTCAATTAGAAGAGGAAAAAAGAATGGCTTAATGAGTTACTGGGATTCTACTCGGTAGGAGTAAAAACTTGCCTTTCAAAAATTCGAGTGAACTTCTATCGGCACTTATCTGCAGAACTTGCTGGTCCGAAAAGTTAGTAGAGTGAGTCTAACTAGGAATAATGAGTGACCTTAGTTAGACAAAAATTTAGAAGCTATATTAATTATTAATTAATTTTCAATTTATTGTTAACATTAATCAAAAATTTAACCAAAGAACAAAATGTCAGAGAAAATTATTTCGTTTGATAAACCACGGAAGTCTCAAGTGTTTCAAATCATTCTGACCCACTATGCAGTTAAGTAACACTAAGTAGAGAGCAAAAATAAACACTGAAGCCAGCTGAATCAAAAATGGTGAATGCTATAAGAAAATTATCGCGCAATAAACTACTTACATTGATTATCACAAAATGCACAGCAAAAGTACTGATCCAAACCGAGTTGGAGAGTTGAATATCGTCGTTGCTTTTCTAAAAATTTCTGTATAAGCAGTTTGGGAATATGACAATTTGGGATACATTTTTTTCAGCTTATATTTTTCTTTTAATGAAAGTCAAATGAAAGTGAAATTCGAGTGGCTGCCACATAAGTCTATATATTCCCATCACGTAAATCTGGCGAAATAGCCTCACAATTATTGAAGTCAATCAAACCAGAGAAAGTATTGTCTGAAGAAAAAAAAAGAAAGAATAAGGATTACTATACGTGAGATTTACATTAAGGATCCGGAAATTTTCTTCTGCAGCTGTGAATCCACTAAAGAGTCCATGAATGATTTCAAGGGAATCAATCATAGCTGCTTTCACTCTGAAATCATCGACCAATTTGATAATTTTTAATTTCGATAATTTTTAAAAATTTCATAAAATTTACAAATAAAAAAAATTTTGTAAATTTAAAATTAGGAAAAATCATTGCGAAATTGGAAGCACATAAGAATATTTAAAATCACCTAACGCATGTTTCTTGGCGAAGATATCCTTGTAGGGGGAAAAACTGAAAAAGCCTAAGGCTAACTGCTTGGCCATTATTATCAAGTTCTCTTCGTACTCGTTGTCGCTTACTTGTCACTACACGAATACCAGTTCGTATTTTCGAATGTCCTTCAGTAATTATCGTGAAATTTTTGATCGTACTTGGCAGCTTAAATTTCATACTTAACGATTTCAAGATGAGAAACTGAGGCTTAAAAAGCTCTTCATAAACAGCATCTATGCCCCAGTGAGGGAAATTTTTTATATCCAGTAATTGAATCATATACTATGAACCCGGAAAGACCTCAACTAACTGCAGCAGTGGGTGGAACCAGCCAAACCAGAAGTAGTGCAACATACTGGAAGAAGGGTAAGGAGAAAAAAGCTGCACAAGAATAGCTAAACTACTGAACGAAAGCTGCTGGCATACATTATAGTAATGTTTCCATTATCTTTGCTAATATTAATATTTTTGCGTGTATGCATTGAATTTTTCGGTGCGCAGCATATGCTAGCCAAATTTTCCATTATTAAACTGAAATTGATATCTAAATGAATCCAAAGTTAAAGATACATAAAAAATTGATGGATGGACAGAAACGTTGCTTTTTTTGTTCGCACATAATGCACATTCGATGGTTACTTGTTGTGAGCCTTTGTCAATCGCGTTTACTTTATGTAAGCGATATTCATAAATTGCTCGATTTGCAAAATAAGTTTCCTTAAACAAAAATTACTGAAAAGGGAATTTTTTAAATTCGGATGCTTAGAATTTGAAGGAGAACTATGGAAGAGCATCAGTGATATTCTATGAACAAAATAGAACCAAGCCAAATTATTCAACATTGCTCGAACCAAGTCAAAGATCAGAATCAGAAACAGGATGAGTTCGCTTGATTTGCCACAAACTTACTATTGGTGAAGTAGAATCGCTAAGTTGTTCGAAAAGCCAATCAGCTAGTGAATCAAGCTCGATGCTTTTAATTACGGGATCAATGCCACGACTTCCAAATGCCATAATACCAAGCGAATTAGCCAAAATATTACCATTCTAAAATGAAACCTTGCTTAGAAAAATTTACGCTTTAACAAATCTTGTTCTTTCATGCGAAATTTTTAATACCTACTTTTGTACTCTTATCTGCGATAGCATTATTAAAACCTGCTTTGTTCACAGTTAATGCGTCAAACGGTGTTTCAACGGTCCAATATGGCAAATTGTCTGAAACTAAGAAAGAAAGCTGGCAAATTAGAAGGCAGACTATTTTATTTTGCATACACTTGCTTATTGTTTCGAATTGCTTGTTGGTGAAATTATCATTTCAAGTCAGAATTTGGATTTTGCCCCCAACAGAACTAAATCTATGACAAAATAAGCAAACCTAAAAAATGTGGCAAAGTTGAAAAATTGCTGAAATTAATGTTATGTGAGATTCTTCACAGTTCTAATTTAATATTCATGGTAAATGAAACTAATTGATTACTAGCCGCTGAACAATTGTATAAGCTTAAACATTTGGCGAGCCCAAAGGGTCTTAGGTCTAAGCCATAGTTAGAAAAAACAAACATTCATTTAGTTCAGGCTTTCCCTAAGAAAGTCAATTTGATGAATTACAAATACTCCATAAAAATACTAAGGTTTTTCCAGAGGAATATTTTCGTTAATAACAATCTCTTATTAATCTATTAATGAATTTTAATTAATAGTCAGCCAAATAGTTTTAAAAAATTTTTCTCAAGCTGAATTATTATATATATATATATATATATAATTATTATTATATATATATACATATTAAATTTTCATTGGCTATCTTTTCATATTCTAAGAATTTCCATTTAATATGGTGAAATGATAATCCAAACCATACTTCTAATTACAGAATACATTTTGATTCGCATAATACTTCTTGTAGATTTCGGTGCCATGTATGCCAAAGCAGCAATTGTACGTATGTCAAGTTGAACTTTGTTTAGTAAAGTATAGAAATTTGATCGTAACTTTATCCATATTTTGTCGTTTTTCTACAATTTCGACCACAGATTTCTCTTTTTTAATTATATATATGTATATATATAATGGCCAATGCTGGATTCAGAATTTATTATGTTCTAAGGCTAACTCTTTAACAAATTAGCTTTTCAACGGAGCATTTGTGGTAGTTGATTGCTCGTTCTATTGTCAGTTTTTTTAAAACTCATCCCATGTACTTTACTTTATTCACTTTATGTTCTATGAGCCATAAATTTGCAAATATCACTGGAATAACTTGTCAGAGAAGAGTTGAAAACCAAGTGCTGGAGATCTTCTTGCACCACTCTGTTTTTCAAGTGAGTCATTGGTGACTTTTAGTAGTCAGTGAAGTCAGTTAAGTCACAAATAAGAACAAGAAAATGAAAAATATGGCGTAGATCCAATTTCAAATGCACATTTTAAAAAAACAGGATTATTAAGAATTATTCGAATATTTCCTATATTTTTAAAGTCTTACAATGCACTGATAAGCAATGCAATCTGATGAAAGTTGGTGGAATAGTGCCTTTAAAAACCAGTTCTGATCAGCATTTGTTATCTGAAGCAAACAAGATTAGAATTCTATTGTAAGAATTGTAAGAATTAATGAAAAAAAAAACCAGATTGTGACCTTGTAAAATAAAAATTGAAAATGCTCACGAAACCCATTTGCCTGAGAAAGTAATCGTCGACATTCATGTTTGATGGTACTTCAAACTGACTAAATAAATAGTTTAATATAGGGCAAACGATTCGTTCATCAGTGCTTGATTCGCAAAATAATGAAGCTGTTATTAATGATAAACTGAAAATCAAATTAATTATAATTAATAATAATCGCTCAAACATTATGAAAAATAATACCAAATTTAAGCTTTCATGCAAATTTCCCGGGTATTAAGTAGAGTTGTCAGTCTAAGTGATTTCGACTTTAATTAGATAACTAATTAGGAAACTAACAAAACTGATCTTTCACTTGGATCTCGAGGTGCAGCATATTGGGAAAAACCACATTTATTTTGGCCCAAGCAGTCGGAAAATGATAATGTCGCAGATATCACTAAAATTCACAATTCACAAAACTAAAAAAGTTGGAAAGTTTTTAAGAAAAATGGTTATAAATAAGAAAAATAAAAAAAAATTGTTCAAGCGAGATTTCCCCATGGAAATAACCGTACTTCCAGAAGAAATTAGGTTTAGCTAAATTAAAAAAGAACGACTCACGAGATCCAATATTATTATCGTATTTCTCTAAAACAGAAAGATCATTGTTGGTGCGAAGTTGTAAAGTTTTAAATTCATATAAAGTTATTGCGAGCGATTTGAGGCGATCAGTTAGAAAAGAACGTCGCCATTCTGTCGCTCGTTTTTGGCGAAATAAATTATTCTCATTCACACTAAGCATACCATCTTCAAAAGTCGATTCGGTTGGCAAGAATCCTACAATTCTACATTTATAGATCTATAAATTGATCCTAAAACTCAGTCATAAAGGCCGAACGAATGAAACTCCACTTCCTTCTCCAATTAGTCGATAAAACGGCTCTAAGCAATCAATGAATAAGAAATGCTGAGGAAATTTTTAAAATTCTCGGTAATTTTTGCTGAATGATTTTTATAAAATTCAAATTAGCAATCATTCTTAAGACTTTCGACTGTATATGGGCACTAATTGTTAATAAAAATATATTAAAAATAACTACATAAATAGCGAAAATAATAGTTAATTATAAGTTGATAAAGTAGTGAGCAAAAAAGATTTTGAAATATACTGGAAATTTCCACAGCGATACTTTGAACACGATCTGAATCTGGAGTATTTATTCTAATATTCGTATAGAGTTTCTGTGAAGAAGGCGCAAGTCTATACTCAGTGTACTCTGAAATATGCTTGAAAAATTTTTGTTTTTTCTTATTTTAATTTATAAATTGTTGCAAAATTTTATTCATTTTTGAAATTAGCAATAAAAATTTACCTATAATATCTCTAATCAGGTTTTCTTCTTTTAAAATATTTTGTTGTAGGTCATTCGTTCCAATCGAACTTATCAACGGTTTTTTCGGATTTAGGATAATCCGTCGATAATGTTCGATATTTTCTGACCGTTTCTTAAAAGTATCTTTTGAATTTGTTTATTCGTTTATGATTAAGAGGAATAGGAATGGCTGAGTGGGTTTTTACTACTATTTTAGAGCTGATGCAGAAATTCCACTTCTTACAGGAGATCTGTCCAGCAGAGCGAACCCAACCAGAAATGCTAGAGAAAAGGAATTAAGCGATAAAAAGAAGCCAAAGGAAAAATCAAGTAGGCCATAGCATCAATTTTTAATTTTTTTCTAATAATTTCTAATAAGAATCTGGAAAAGAATTTTAATATTCTTAATTTTTCCCTTTATTAGTTCATTTTATTGAAAATTTGAACAGAAAATTTTTCATGCAATCAAGAAATAAATATTGGAAAATAAATATAACTTTTTGTGATAATTCAAAAATTTCCATGGAGATATTTTATTTTAAAAAGATTTAAGTGGAAATCAAATTTCCTGAAAAAAAAAAGTAACTTTTCTTTATTTTATTTTATTAATTTATCGCTATTATTTTAATTTATTAATTTTCTTGACTGATATTTCCCTTTTTGGTTTATTTAAATAAATCAATCAAATTTTAGATAAATTAAGCGAAAAACCTACAACAACATCAAATTTGACTTTCAAAGAGTCATACACTTCACCGGTATCACAGTGATGTGGTACTTGATACGATGTCCCCTCACGTTTGAAATGAATCAATAGTTCTGCATCTCCAACTTGATAAAACCTCGAATAATAATTTGATTTTTTTGGCAACAATGCTCAAAAATATTTTTAATGTAAATAATAAGTTTAATAAGTATGTATAATAAGTTTTAAATATTTTGCGACAAATAAATCATTTCAAATCCAGTAATCTGAGATTATAAAGCATCGACAAAACGGCAAATGCCAACCTCAAATTGAAACGCCTTGAAGCGGTCAGTTGATTTGGAGTGAAATATATGGTGTTATAATCCTCTCGACTTTCATCACCATCAATTCCTACATCTATACATGTATGTCGTTCGAGTTTTTCGAGGCATATTGATAACTGAATATGTTTTTATACTTATTACCCATTTACGGTCCTAAATGAAGCAAAAGCGGCAAGGTAAAATAATATGAATTTTTTTCTATTTCTATTTCTACAACTTTTCTTCTACTTTGAAAAATTCCGAGTGCAAAAATCACATAAAAATCCTGATTGGAGATCCAGTAATAAAGAATGCAGTGCAATGCAAGTACTTAGATAATTTTTAATTTCTAATCTTATATTTGAATTTTATAAAATGAACTTGGAAAACTTATTGCACAATACAAATCGCACTATTATATTTGTCCATTGTATGTGAACGGCTTCCTGTTTATCATCAAATTTTCTTAAAATCTTACACTTTACTATTCTGATTTCTTGTCAATTATAACTATATATGATAGGGATAGGATGACTTAGTGGGTTGTTGCTCAATTCGGTCGAGTGGACCTGAACATGGCATAATTACAGACGAAGGCGAAGAAGTAGAACAGTCAGAAGCAACCTCTGGAGCAGATGACATATGTTCTCCTAAATCTTCCTTCGAGGAACAAAATTCGCATGAAGAATCTGCAAGAATTCTTCAGGGTCCACTGGAGGATATGAAAGCTTCTGAGAATCTGCTCCCTGGCATATTTGTCGAGTGCCATAAGGTGGCGGAGCGAGTTTAACTAGCAATGGTGAAATTCTTTAAAAAAAAGCTACTCTATGTAAACTAATATCTTCATTCTGTAATTTCAAACAATCTGTCGCCATTTCAAACGATACAGTTATTTCATTCTTTTCAACTGTTTTAACGGTTTTTGATATCTTTTACCAGCACTTTTATGTGCCTATTTGCCTTTCGCTAAAACATAAATTTCTGAATGATGCAGATGAAACTCTTACGGGGACCAAGGGAAAAAAGGTTGGAAATCACTGATTTGAAATTTTTTTCAAAAATTTCAAAAAAAATATATGAAAATATTACCCTCATGAAGTTATCAAGTTTTTTATCGACCGTTGCAGTCACCAGTGCTACAATCGTTTCATTCACATAAACATGTTTTGGCACGTCGATAGAAGCGAAAAAATCCTTCCTAGTTATAGTAGAAACTGCTTCTGTTGTACAAATATCCAAGTTCTTTGGGCCCCACACGGTTGACCGAATAATCCAATTCGTTATAACATCTGGCGATGTTAAATTAATAGTTTTAATTCCAGACGAACTAAAAAAAATATATTTATATGTTTTTATATATATATATATATATATCCTCAGAAAAACGTAGAGAATAATAAGGCGAAGATCGTGGGATTTCCCTATCCAAACAGACAAAAAGTACTGGCTAATCAACTGATAAACTGATATCTGGTAATGGACAAGAATCAAAAATTAACACTGGTGATTGATATTGCAATACCAAGCGATGGGAATATCAGAAAGAAAAAATATGAGAAATTAGAGAAATACCAAGAGCTGAAAGAAGAATTTGAGAAGATGTACAAAGTAAAGACCAAAGCTATTCAAGTGATAATTGGAACTCTTGAACCCCTAAAAGTGGTTTCATCAGATTCCAGGAACATCACAGATCTCTATCCAGAAGAGCGCATTACTCAGAGCAATTAAGATACTGCGAATCATCATCCTAGATCTCTGGTAGAGGACCCGAGGAAGATGATCATGACCACCCACTGGGTAGGAGAAAAAGGTTTCTTCAAAGCTTATATTAAACTTCAAAACTATCCGAACTAATGTCTTAATCTTTCGCCAAAAAGTTATTGAAGAATAAACGTATAGGTGATTCAACTGCCATAAGATTCTATTTTTGATGTCATTGATTCGGCTAAAGGTCCGAATCGTACCGATCGAACCGATGCTGCTTTCCTTTCGGTAGAAACGAGCACAATTCAGTTATCATGTCTGTTTTAATCGTTCAATCGCTCTTCAAGGTTTTTGATGAAAAAGTGCAAAAAATAATTCTGAATCAGGGTGCGCCCTCCTTTTTTAAGAGTATTGATAACCATCTTTAACATGCAACTAAAATGGAAACAATCGTCGAATTTCAATATCAGCAAAATGTGAAAAATAAAATTTGAAAATAAAAATAAAACCCTAATTCAAAGTTGTCGAAAAACCAGAATTCCGGAAAAAATTCGCGTATTGGAGGTCGAGCCGGTTCTTCATTAATTGAAAGTTCCATTTCATCTTGTGATGTTTGAGGTTTTCTATGGTCCGTAGGCAATTGAAAATTTCGTGCAAATGTGGCGTAATTTAACTTGGCACAAAGTGCTTGGTTTCGATCGCAAACTGAGCTGGCTTAAAATCATCTACATCTTGGCTATTTTTAAGCTATTTATTTCCTTTTCTTCCATTGATAACTAGGGTATTTCGTCAGAGACATTTGTGTGATTTGATCTCCAACAGATATTTCTAACATTTTTTTAATACGTAAAAAATAGGAATAGAGTTGCAACGAAAGCAATAAACCACTCAAATCCCTTATTTCGGTAATATGAAATGATAAATGATAAAAGAAAATGACATACAAGTTGGCTTTCTTGCACTATCGCAAGCGAGATTCATTTCTTGAAGGCACCGTTCAGTAATGAACGATTTCGACGGTTGAAGATCTGGGCATTTTTGTCCGTTTTTTATTAATAGAATACCTGCCTCACGACATGCTTTCTCTGGATAAATATGCTGAATTATTTTTCAGGTAGAATTTCGATGAATTAAAAGAATTTAACTTATAATTGGATCATGCATTCTATTTTTTACTTACCTGTATTTCCACAATCATTGCTAATTTGATCTTTTAATGAGCTTTTAATCATGAAAAGAACTTATCAGGTAAATAAAAGAGAAATAAAATTAGCTGCCATCAGGCATCTTCTCAATCGTTGTGTCAAATCGGCTCTTTCTGCCAATTTGTTCACTTATGTTTGATATAAGTCAGTCTTTTTAAAATTATTCCAACTTTCTGATTAACTATTTTCTAAAACCATAATTGAAAATATTTTACGCTTACTGAAAGTCTCAGTTAACTCCTTGTAGTTGATAAAATTGATAAAGTGTGTTTGGCCAAATTTAATTTCGTGTCGACTGAATGAAATATCCCAAAATTTGTGATCGAAGCTTGGAGAAAACGACTGAAAATATAATAATTTTATTGTATAGTTTTTTCGATTTTTTTGAATCACAAATTATAAAATTACAGAATTATTTAGTAATTTTTGGCGTCCTTTGGCCCCAACGTGTAGAGCCATTTGTTTATCATTATTTTTGCGATATACTTGCTTTTCCATTTCTTTATTTATTCTATCTATGAAATATTTTGCCAATTTTAAGGCTATATTATTAGTTAATTTCGTAAACCATTTCGTCTATGTATCTATTTCAACTTTTCTCCAAAAAAAAGAATTGTTAGGCCATTTTCAAAAAATGGAATTGCTTTGAGTTTGCGAGATATGATGCCTGCCTTTCCAAAAAATTTCTAAATCGGCACTGAAAAGTACCGATAGTTAGAAAAGGTCGCTTTAAAGTGCCCTATTTAGTAGCCTAAGTTCGCGACTTAATCTCCTCGTTGACGGAAAATACCTCGAATAAATCAATCATGCTTTGATCAATGACATGGAGCGTTGCTAGCCCATTGCGCTCGCCATATATAGTTACTGTTAAATTTTCTTTCACATCGATATTGTTGGATGATACCACCACTGAATACTGGAAAAAATGATCTTTCTTGCACTGAATAGAACTTTTCTAAAGACCATTAAGCTACGGTTTTTAAGCTTGCTTTGGTAAGAATTTCTACTAAAACATGCTGTTAAAGAGGTTTATTTGGTAGAGAAAAAACTCGAATGAGAGAAAATATAGTTCATTTTCGCTAATCTGACTGAAATATGCAGCATTTTTTAAAAATATAATATAATAAAATATAAATGTAGAAATGTAGAAATGTAGACAACAAATCAAGTGGCATGAGCAATATCTTCACGACTTCACCATCAGTAGAAATTGCTAACATCTTTATATTAAATTATGCTATAATGAATTTTATTTTATATACATTTGTGAATATATGAGTTATGCTTAATGAAGAGACTGTTGGGTTTCAAGAAGGCTTCAACGAAATGCCAAAGGAGTATAAATTAAAAAATTAAAATCCTTGCCGTAAAAGGAAAAAAGCTTTTGCAGTATTTGTTATTTGAGAAAAAGTTCACTTTTATTTAAGAGCACTCATTATAGACTCGCTCCTCTAGCTTGTCCAGGCGAATTTTCGTTTCAGGGAGTGATTTGGCGATACATGAGTTGTCAGGATCATCTGGATTCTCAAAAGACCGGTTTACTCCTCAGGTTTATTCCTCATTGCCTCAGAACCTCAGCATTGATGTTCCGAACTGAGCAACAACCTCCTGAGTCGTTCTTCGCCACACCTCACTTTATTTTGGTCATTCGGTTACCGCTCGACGAAGCATGATTCATTGCGGAACATCCCCAACCATCGTCGATTCTCGGCGGCATTTAACTTTTCATTCTGTTTTGTGGTATTGAATTGCTATTACTAAAATCATTCTAAAAAAATGGTACAGAAATACTCTACCGGACATCCACGCTTGACAAAAAATTGAATCATATCTATCTGAACTTGATCAGAATAACTATAGACATATAAGATGCATTTTTCTTTCATTGTCGGCTCGATTACGAATGATATAAGGCCATCATCACGAACGCTTCTGCTTAGCACTATTGAATTTTCATTACAGATTAGCTGAAATCTGCCATTTAACAATTAAAATTGCATTAAAAAAATAATTAAAGAAATCATTGAACTGTAATCGGAACCAGGTGAATCTGCAATTTATTCACAGTGGGAATACTGAGTTAATCTACCGTTTTGGCTGGCAATAACATGGGCAATTTCTAGAGACCAACCTGCACTACCTTCAAGTAAATTTGTGGCCTTTAGCTAAGTGCTAGAGCGCATCAGCCGTAAATCGCAGTATGTTCCACTAGAAAAAGAAGAAAATCCCTATTTTAAAATTTGGAATTTTTTCTTATTAGATTTTGCCTATTTTTTTCAAATTTACCGTTTTCAAAGAAAATACTACTAAAATATGATTAAAGCGATACTAAATTACATTACCAAATAATTAAATTGCGATGGTTTAGTTGCAAATATATTCGTTTTAAAAGTGTCGCCGTCTCTGAAGGTGGCATCTTTCGGATATTTCGAGAATGAAATCAATCTAAAGTCCATTGATCGCGAATAAGCGAATGACGGAACCATAAATGTTACGATATTTGAAAAATCATTGCCTATTTTTCGTTTACCCTGAAATTGAATAAAAATTTGGAACTAAAACTGATTGAAAAAACATTTGAAAGTCTGCTGACGAAATAGTGATAATTTGAAGTCTAGAAATTTGAGCAATTTAATTAGACTTATATGCAATAGAGGATATAAATGATAAAGAATGGCGTCTCCTCTTCCAAAAAACACTAAGAATAACGAGGAAGATTTCTGGTTCCCCCTATTTCATTAACTATTAGGGCGGTGGATGGTTTCACCAAAGAGTCACTTGAAGATTCATATATTTAAAATTCCACTCGGAATTCACTTTTAATGGCAAATTTCCTACTACAACAATTTAATCGACTTTGATAATAATTGTTGACAACTATGCACAAAAATAAACAAACCTTGATAAGTAAAACGAAACATTTCTGGTCGTCTTTCAAAGGTATAAGAATAATTTGGTCGAGACTACTTTCAAATAATTCTGAATTGTTTGCCACGCCATCACTAATACACAATACTTCTAGCTGTACGACTTTATTGCTTTCAGCTATACTTTTTGTCGTTGATGTTAACTTTAATACATAAAGAATAATAAATACATAAAGAAAGCAGTGCTTATAAATTTCGTGTTTTTTATGTTACCGATACTTAAAGAACATTAAAATTTCTATCTGTAATCTAATTGTCCAAATAGAATTTTACATCCTTTACAGCTCGCACTGTGGCTCAAATGGCTTAGACCGATCTTACGATAATCTTCTACCAATTCTTATATGATATGATTGATAATTTGATTAATTGATTAATGGTTATTTCGTAATAGCATATCATATATTGCCGCTCCAGCTATGGATTAGCTATTTATCTTAAAATGTGAAGCTTAAAATTTTGGATTTCTCCTTTTACAGCTAGTTTTTATTATTCATATATTATTATCCATCCACATTTTTCTTTTGTTTTCATTGTCATTTTATTTCAGAGCTTTCATTAGTAATAACAACAATTCAGAACTAATCGCTATTCTGAACATTTAAATAAGATATTTTGAGAACAATAGGTTTTGAATAATTACTAAATTCTTTTCTTATTTCTGGATAAAGCAGGAAAGATTTTAATCATCTAATCGTTTAGAGATTTTAATCTCTATGATTTCTGTAGTATTTATTTATCTTCTTCAATTTTAGCCAAAAATAAACGGCAGTTGCAAATGGCTTTCGTTTCACTTTATTATCTAATAGCGCTCTCCATTCCTGGTTAGGTTCAGTCCCCTTCTTGGGCCAGACAAATTTGGTCAGGTAGTCATTTAGCAAAATAAGTCCCCATAGCAATTATAAATCACCCGGATTTCTGATACTTTTGAGCGAGCAGAATCCAAATGTGATCCAAGTGTTTGAAACAAAGACAACTTGAAATATTATTTTTATTACTAAAATTCTTTGAAATATTTGTATCTGTATCAAATATTTGTATCAATATGTATTAAACGTAAAAAAATTAGAGCGAAAGCCGTTTCAGTCTTTTCTAATTAAATATATAATCTATGTATAAAGTGAATATCCGTTCAACTAAATTACTTTCATAAAATATTGATGTGCAATAAAGTATCAATCCTTTTGCAATAAAATATATTTTTAAATATATTGATTAAGCGCAATTTAGTATAATAAATTAGTATAATAAATTGGACTTACGAGTAATGGCATTTCTTTTGAACGCTTCGAAAAGCCAGGTCGGAGCGGAATTAAATCGAACCCCGCTGACTTTATCTCCACTGATATCAATGTATGAATCGATTCACCAGTTCCTTGATCCCGAACCTCGATATAGATGTGTTTCAAAGAAATATCTACGGATGAACAATTTGCAATGTCGATTCTTAAATTCCATAATCCTTCATCTTTCTATAAAAAAGAAATAAAAAATCCAAAGAAGAAAAATGCAATATCCAATTCATATTTTATTCCTTTCTAAAAAAATTTCGAGTTATAAGTGGAATCGAGGAAAATATTTCATTAAATTATTTATAAGAAATCATTTTTGGTAAATGATTTCCTTATGATAAATTATTTATTGGTATGAAAAGTAGTTTCTGCAAAAATACAAAGGCAAATATAAAAGTGCACGAGTTGTTTAAATATTCAGCAAATATTTTCTATGAATATCTTTTAGATTTTCGTTTTTTGAGTATATCACCAGTTAGTGGCAAGTTTCTAAGTTTTAAGTTTTTTGCTTCGAAAACCTTTCAAAAATTCTAAAATTTGCTTTTTTGCAAAAAAAATAATATTCTGTAATATCTCTTTTTATTTTAAAAAATAGAAAACATAATTAAAATTAAAATAAAATTTCGAGAATGCAAGAAACAGAAAAAAAGAAAAGTTCAGCAAATATTTGAAAGATTTGTTGAGAAAAAAATGACTGATAAAAAAATAAGAGAATGGGATAGGATTATCGAAGCGATTTTGCTGTTCTTTTATCATACTCATAGCCAGTGGAACGAATCCGACTAGAAATACTGACCACTTCCAATCATTTACGTACTGTTGAACAAAAAAATGGCAAATTTTGGTTATTGTTTCTTTTTATATCTTACAAATTTTTGTTGTATTATTTCTAAATATTTTCTAAATTAGGGAAATTTTTTTATTTTATATATGTCGAATTTGCTTTATTTTTTATGCTATAAGACAAAGTCAACTTTCATTCAATCATTTTCTCTTGACATTCTTCATTTATTCCATGTTGTCGAACTACTTTAATTAAACTCGTTTTAATGAAGTGGAAATTAGTTGACATAATTTTTTATAAATTGTTACTTATTGTAATTGTTACTTATTGATGCTTGTTTTTTATCACTGGAATGACAACATCAAACGAATTTTTCTACTTATCTTTTATTAATTTTTATTCATTCAATTGTTTATTATTTTCCATTTATTTTATCGTCGCTATTTTAGCTAAAAACCATTTTTTTAATTTTTCTATAATTTTTCCATTTTTTTGTCCATAAATATTAATCATTAGTTTTTTCATTAAATTGGTTGAAAAAACAGAGAAAAATTTTTTTGGCAATTTATTGGCTAATTTCATTCATGGAAAAATATTGTCATAAAGATTGCAAATTAGTGAATTAGTTTTGTTACTAAGGTCTGAAAATTTGGATCTGACTTTTACCGTTAAACTAATTATAACGAACAAAGTCATTTCAATTTGATCTTCAGCAATTTTTTGGCAAAAATTTTTTAATATAATTGTTTTTTAATCGAAATAAAAGAGAATTCGTGCAACGTTGCATAATTTTATCCAAAGATTGAACTCGAATCCATCAATTAATTCTACTTTCTACTTTTTAACTTTCTAATTCTACTTTAATTCTACTTTTCTACTTTTATTTTTTTCTCTTTTATCTTTTTTTATCGTCAATAATATTATAAATATTGGTATATTATAATTATTTATTTATTTATTGAAAAGCAGCCAAGCAAGGCGCAAACGCCATGTGCTTGTATTAATAACATAAGTTAAAATAACAAATAATAAGAATTAATGACAAATAACAAAAAATAATAAAATTAAAATAGAATAAACAATTTAAAGATGAAATAAAGAGGATATTGCAAAATAATAAAATATAGTAGAAATCGAAATAATTATAATCGGATGGTAAAAATCGCGATTTCATACTTCCTGCATGATGTGAATTTTTTAAATAATCATAAATGATAAATGATATTATAATCTTTTTTTAAAGATAACTAGGAATGGCGCACAAGCTATATCGTTCGGTAATTTATTCCAGAAATTAATATTACGAATAAAGAAATCACGAGTCCTTAGTTTGGTTTTACACACAGGTTTTAGTAATTTTAGCCCATTAGTTCTTGTTGGATTTAAATTTAACCTAAAATTATAATATTTTGAACAATCTAATTTAACATAACCACACAAAATCTTATAAGTATAAGTTAAATGACAATGTATTAACGACGAACTGACAGAGAATCCAGGTTATATTGTAGAAGTTTTCTTTTATAATTAAAATTGCAATTAGAAGAGAAGCGCCGTATAAAATATTTTTGGAGTCCTTCAATTATTTTACTTGATTTACGATATCTCGGGGAATAACATGTAGTATTGTAGTCAAAAATTGGTCGAACGAACGCTTTATACATTTTGGTAAGAAAATCTTCAGTTTTATTTTTAAACGAACGAAAAATAAAATTTAGTATTTTTAAGGATTTCTTTACTATGGTTCTGCAGTGAAAGCCGAAATCGAGTGTCTATTGATTAAATTACCATTTATAAAAAGATTAGGAAGATCGAATCCTTTAAAGTTGATGTGAAGAACGCTACATTTTTGAAAGGAAAGGATAATTTGCCTGCCATATAGCCAATTAGCTATTCTGCTGAGATCCTCCTACAGTGGAGATAGCTATCCGCTCTACCATGAGAATAATAAATTTTACAATCATCAACATAAAGATAAATAGTAGAATTTATTACCACTGCGGTGATATCATTTATATATAATAAAAATAGCAATGGCGCAATACAACTGCCTTGGGATACGCCTATTTAGCAGGTGTCATGTCAGAAAGAGTGTTGTTAACATATACAGCCTGGTAACGATCTTTTATGTAATCTGACACCCAGTCATAGAGTTCCCCTGTTATGCCATAACTATTAAGAGTGACCAATAATTTGCTATGGGAAACAGTATCAAAAGCTTTAGCCAAATCTAGGTAAAAACTGATACTGTTTTAACATTGCCAATTGATGCAGACCAATCGGAAAGATTTGCCAATATTTGTGAAGAAGTGGATTTTTTTGTACAAAAGCCATGCTGATAAGGAGATATAAAATTATTGGCATCAAGATCATAACCAATCTGTTGCAAATCAACCTTTCGAGTACCTTACTACAACGTATGTTAGGCTAATAGGTCTATAATTAGAAGGGTCACAGGTGCTTCCTTTTTGAGTGGGAATTATATGAGACAATTTCTAAATCTTGGGATTAAGACCAGATTTCATAATGTCTTTATAAATTAAAAATAGTAGAAGACTCAGTGAAACTGCACATTTTTTATAAATTATTTGTGGAATATTATTGGGATCAGCTCAAATGGACGACTTAAGTCTATTTAAGGCATCATATACATCCAGTAATATTATTTCAACTTCACCGAGAGAAGTGCAACAAATTCGATTTATGTTAAAACGAGAAGTATGAGTATTATCATCATCAAATACAGTGGAAAAATATTGATTAAATATACTTGCAATATCAATATCAGATGTGATCACATTATCATTATGTTGCAAAATTAATTGCTTACGTGGATTTGAAAATTTTCTTTTGATATAGATCCAGAAAGAATAATTATCATTACACTGTGAAATCTTTTATATTATTTAAATTGCAAGATTTTATTATCCAACTGTGGTTAACGGCATGAAAGATGTTTATAATGTTGTCAACACTTTCGTGCCTAATTAATAAAGCTTTTGTTAAAAATCTCAGTAGTTCTTGTTTTTTACAATCCGCAATTATCGAACAAGTCTCAAATGGGAAGATTTCACAAAATATCGATGGAGGATCTCAGCAATCAGCGCTTTCTCAATTCTAAAGATACATCGTCGACTTGGTGGGAATAAATTAGTTTTTTTTGTTTTTGATAATTGCAGAAACTTTTAGCAGGAAAATTGCCAATTTATTGACTGAATATTTCTTTAAAAAAACTTAAAATTAGGCTTATATATGAAAACAAATAAGTAATAAGTTTTGCCAAAGTGTCACTTGAGGATGAAAATATTGGTGGGTGAGTAATGCTTTGGTTTTTTAATGGTAAATTGACTCCTGTAGAAAAGGCACGAAGCACACGATGCTAAAATGTCAGAAGTATTTATATATTTTCCATTCTATATTCCTCATCCTAAATTATTTAATAGCTAATTTTACCTAAAAATGCAATTTTAGAAAATATTTTGAAACTTTCGAAAATTTTTCGAAAATTCCAATCAATTTATGGAAATATTGGAAAGTGCTCAATAAATTTTGAAATTATACGAATAAAATCACTGAAGATTTAAATCATTAAGAACTATCGATGAAAGTCTGGAACAGTTCCCATTAGTTAAGAATATAACATGGATGGAATATAAAAACCCATAATAAAATTTATTATGGGTTTTATTTATCTTAAATTTATCTTATTATGGATAAAATGGCATACGGCTTTATAAAGAATGCAATACTAAATAATAATAAATGGATAAATTCCATGAATTTTTAATGATTTCTAAATTTACATCACCATATTATTCACATTAATAAAAGTCGCTTCCTCAAACTATTGCGCATTTAAAATTCTGTTATCATCGACCTTCATACTTGCTAAATACCGATTTATAATTTTTTGTAGGGCTGGTAATTGTTTTGCTTCCGGAGACTCGTTTCTGGAAAAACATAATGCAATGTTTTTTATTCAATCATTATGAAAATATATAAATTTTTTCAATACTCGATAGAAGGAGGAAGCAGAATCGATGCTTGCCGAAAATAAGGTGTGTTTGGCAATAAATGACATGCTGCCGGAAGTGGTAGTGATCGGCTATCATACTGCATTATTGTACTATTGTTGTCCTAAACTCAGTTTATAAAATTGACTCATAATTAATTCAAGCGATTTTTAAATATCTAATACGGCAAATTGATGTGCGGTTAAAACTATAGTACTTTAGAAATTTGTTGAGACTTGAATGTTCTCTTTAATTTGTTAGCAATAATCACACTACGATAATTAGGACGATCAACTGAACGTGTAGTTTTGAAATTTGTAGGAAAATATGATGCAGGAACTGAATTTTGAGATGTGGAATTTGTCTCTTGTTGGAAATAAAGACGATTCTTTTCGTAGCCATCCAGCATTTTTTCTTTTTTATTTGTCTCTAAGCTACAGACACTGAAATTTTAGTCTAATTTAAATTATTCTTTACAATTTCACTTGCTTTTTCTGATTTCAGTTCTCCTAAATTTATTCATTTATCTTTCTCTGAGAATTTAAAAAAATGTTAATTTTTAGGAAATTCTACAACTATAAATCATTTAGATAAAAATTTTGAAAGAAAAGAAAGGAAAAACTTATAAAAATTCAGTTCTTATAGAATTTTTCTAAATTTTGCTATAAACCAAGTGATGCTTGGCATACGTCTCTGTATTTCTATCTGCAAGTGCTGTAGGCAGCCATGCTGTAGCACCGTAGGCATCTGCACACCCTCATCGTCAAGTGACTCTTTGCCAAAGGCTTCTTATCCGCAACCAATCAAATCAGAAATCTTAACCAGATTGGGATAAAAGAAAGAAAATTCCCTATAAAAAATTTTCTACGCGGAAATTTTCTACGATTAACCATTCAAATTCAAATAAATAAATAAAATTAGCGAAGCGAAAGTAAATAAAAATTAAATATAATATTTGTAATAGAATGATTAATTATTTTTATGAAAAATAATTGATAACTTTCCATTTAGAAAAAAAATGAATAAATGAAAATATCAAACCAACCGAATAAATAAATGAAATAATTTCGCAATAAATTTATTTATTTATTTATTTACTCAACAAAACAGATTTGCATCGATAAAAATAAATGTTTTTCTTCTCTTTTTTGCAAATAATTATAATTATTAGTTTTTTTAAATTATTAAATTATTCTTGTCAAAAAAAGAAATGAAAATCCACTCTACGTAATTTTTTTAAAGAAACTTAGACAAAAAATTTTGCATTGGGAAAGGGAAAATTAGGATTTAAATTGGCGCAAGTTTTTGCATTTATCTTTCATTTTGTGTTAAAAGATAAGAAAGACAAATAAATAAATATAGATATAGAATATAAACTAAATGCTTTTGTTTATAATAAAAAATGATGGAGTTGAATTTTGCTTCCATTAAGGGCTTATGCATTATG